AAAATTATTTCAAGAAATATTTCAAGAATACTGTAAATATGGATATTATTGACGATAATGCTACACCGGAGAAAATACTAAATATTAGTTATTATAATAATTATCATGTCATGCTGTAATATACATATATAAAACTAAATTCTTAAATGTATTATGTATCTTTATAGCCCAAACTGAAATTCAGGTTCAAGAATGCATCTCTTAAAGAAAAGAAGTTAAAAAAATATTAATAGCATTTAAAGATAAAGAAAAGCAAAAATAATTACAAAAAAAGAAGCAAAAGGAATGTTAATAGTATTTCAAAGATTAAGAAAAAACAAAAAAACTACATTTAATTTACCTTCATAATCCAAGTAAAATCTAGGTCCAGAAAAGTATTCTTTAAAGAAAAGAAGCAAATAGAACATTAATACATTTCAAAGTCAAAGAAAAAAATAAAAAATAATTTACACCTAATTTATCTTCATAGCCAAGCTAAAATTCAAGTCTAAGAAGGTGTCTCTTAAAAAAAAAGTAAATAGAATGTTAATAATATTTTTAATGATAAAGAAAAAATAAAAACAATCTTTTACATTAACTTACCTTTATAATTCAGATGTAATCCAAGTTCAAATAGGTGATTCTAAAGAAAAAGAAGCAAAAGGAATGTTAATATTCTTTTTAATGATAAAAAATAATAAGAATCATTCTTCCTAACTTATTTTTATAGCCCAAACTGAAATTTAGGTATAGGTTAGTATTCTCTAAAAAAAATAAAGAAACATATCTTTAAATTCAAGCTATCTAAGTAAATTCTAAAGTCTAAGTCTATATTTATGTCTATTTCTAAAGAAAAAAAAGTAAGTTTTTTTTTTTAAAAAAAAAATCAATATTATAAAATGATCAGATTATTTGATCAATCTGATCATTTATATAATATCTAATTAATCTGATATTATCTAATAGATCTATTTAGATTATTTATGATCCATTTATTCATGATCTAGATAATCTATTTTGATCAGATCAGATGACAGATTAAATAGATTTCACTGAGACACATCTTTATACTAATTACTAATTGATATTTTTTTTCTTATTATTTTATAAATAAATTTACTATTTAAATAAATTATTAATTAGTATCATATAACTAATCCTAAATAATGATACATAATGTTACATTATATGATGTCAAAAAATTCTTTATAATTATAATGAAGAATTTTTTGCTAAAATAATTATTAGTTAAACTTTCAATCAGTTTCACAAAAATTGTTGATTTTACAAAGGTATATCTATAATAATGAAACTTCTGTACAATTACTACTATATTAAAATTACATACAGTAACTAACTAGAAGTTTATAACTCAGTTAAATAATTTTTTTTAGAATTTTTAGTAAGTGTGATTTAATTAAACTTGATTTAATTTATATAACTCTATACAACTTATTTAATTCGATCAATAATACTTTAATCCAAAAATTAGGTTTTATTAAAAAAAATATTATATCATATACTCTTAAAACTTTATTTCAAAAAAATATATCATATCATATTTTTCAGTTCTTGTAATAATTCCTCTTAATTTTATGAAATTAATTAATTCAGTTATCAAACTTATTTTTAAGATTACAATTCAAGCCACTTGACTATATTAAAGTATTTTTAAAGATTTTTATATCAACCATACTGAATTTATTTGTTTGCTATTCTTATAAAAGGTGATCTAATTTTACAAGAATTTGAGTGTATCATCTAATGTTACTTATATTAATTCTTCTTCAGAATCATCATATTCATCATTTTCATCACATACCTCTTCATATATTAGATTTATTTTATATCAGATACATTTAGGATGGCTTCAGTTAGAATTTTTTTTTGCAAATTATAAAAGAAATTGTTTAACTCATCTGCTAATAAGCACAAGCATATTAAAGTCTTTCAATTATTTGATCTATATCTGGAGGCAATCAATAGAGGAAAATCCACTTTTTAGTCAAAAATTTTTTATTAGTTCACTTTTCTGATCATGGTCATGTGAATAAAACTAGTTTAATAACTAAAATTACTCAAAATTTCCCCTTTTCTATGACATCCCCATCTGCTTTTCTTAATATATTATTTCTTGTTAAATTCATAATGTATTAGCTATATTTTCATTAGTTAAAGTAAGTCAGAATCTAAAGAACGATATACTAAATCAGATAATAAAAGATAAAAAGAATCTTATGAAACTACTAGTGCCAAATTCTTATTTAAAAATAAAGTAGATAAGTTGTTTTACATAGTCAAATTTAACTTTGTGATTGTGGTTGAAGCTGTGTTTAAGAAAGTCAAACTTGGAATGCTAAAACATTTACGAGTTCATTTACATTAGAAATAATGGATTTAGATAAAGTGATCAAATATTTGTCTAATACCTCAATACTTTGTTATAACTCTGTACCCAAATTTTAATAATGATAATATCATTCATACAAACAGAACAACGTTCAGATGTTCGATCAAATTTATTTTGATATTATCTGATAAAAAATGTTTTAAATTATCAATTTATATACTTCACAAATCTTTCTTACAATGGAACCATTAGATACTGTATGAATTTGCCCATTTGCACCATTCATATTAGAATGAATTCGAGAAAACTATAATCTTGACAAAAGTGGTACCCCTCTAACAATATCACTTAAAATGCCACCTCTATAAAAAGATGACTGAAGCCTATAATAATAGTAATATGTTGTGTTGCTAATAAAGAAGGTGGTCCATTTGTAGGTATTTTTGATGTATTAGGATTTTCTGTGACTAATGGATTTGCTAATGTTGCAGTAAGTTTATTAAAGTTGAATTAGCTGGTGGTCTCCTGGTAGCATTTTCGTTAGTTCTTCATTTATCTTTTCTAAATCATTAGCATCGTTACCCAATAGTGCAGCAAGTCGCATCTTTTCTCAAATTAGTGCTATTTACTCAAATCGCTGATTTAGTGTACCTTTCAAATACTCACATATTGTTATCATATCTGATACTTTTTTTAAATAAGTTGATACTGCTTTTCTTAACTTCATCATTTCGAACTTGTTTGCAAGAAAAAATTGGTTGAACCGTAATGGTAACTCATTATTTTTACAGCTTCCTAAATAAATTAGTTTTCCAAATGATGGAATCTTTTGAAAAGGTGACTCCATTATATTTAATGTTTTTAATGAAATCTAAAATTGAAACATTGGTTAACATTTTTTTTAAAATATAATTTGAAATTTGCTTTCTTTCACATACAGATTTAATAGAAAGAAACTCGATAAAAAGACGGATCCAACTTCTCAATTGCTAATATAAAAATAAAATATTAAAAATTCAGCATAATTTCAAGTTGTTAAATAACTTATCTCCAAATGCAATTTCAATTCTTTTCACACAAACTGGTTTGAGATTTTAACAAAATTAAAAACTAAATATCTCAATTATAGTCCTAATGTCAGTAATAGTAATATTGTCAAAGAATTATCTATTTTCTTTGTTTATATTAAAATAAAGAAAACCAACTCTTCGGGAAGACAGTCTGATTTTTGAAAATCAATTCAGTAAACTTAAACTCAAAAATTTTCGCTAGTAAACTTGTTTTGATAAATTCTTTTCACTTTTCTTCAGAAAAGAGTAACAGCATTATTTTTTGAAGGACTTCCAGACTTTGCAGCTGGATGGATTTCTAACAGGATCAGCCTCCTTAAATGCATATCCATTCAAAAAAAGGCAATATGATTGGAACTATTCTAACATATCTACTCTGAAAATATGAAGTATAGCTTCTTTTTTGCCACAGGTTTCCTATGCTTTGATGCTTGTTCGCAACAGAAATATTACTTTAACTTCGGCCTTTACATAATATTTATGACTTTTCCACTTTTATATCATCAAGCCCTTCCAAGAAAGTGCTCACGCCTTCTCACAAATGACTTACATCCTTGTTCCCAATCCTTTAAAAACTGATTTGAGACAGGTTCAAAATTGTCATCAGAAGCTTTCACCATTATTTCAGGTAAAGATTTGATTTGGCCTTTTTGATACAACTTTAGTATTTTATATATCTACAATCATTTTTTGGTCTCTGATTAATTTGTGAGTTCTTGTATTTTCAGTCACCAAAATGTCCTCAAATATTAAAACTCAAATAATAATATTATTAATTAGATTAATTATTGTAAAGTTAGAATGACCTGATAATATTTATACTTAATAATATGTCATCCAGTATCGAAGACAAAGTATCCACTACACTTTTCTTTTTTTAAGTTTTTTATCATGAGTATACAGACTATAGAAAAATAATAATAGCTTAATAAAGGGTTCAATATAATTAATTAAGCGTGATTGTTTATTTTTGCAAAAGCTTCACGTAAACCAAAGGTTAAATATCTTGGAAGTCATAAAACTTTACTTACATGAATTAACTTATTTCATTTTTGCATGTGCGTCTGATTCTAAAGAATTACTACTGTACTTCAATGGTAGATCTCACATTTCTGACATTTCAGACCTATGCCATTTCCTTCCTTTCAATAATAAGTATTTGATCTAGACTACAATCATAATTAATTAATCCTTTTAAGAAAGAATTAGAATTTGATTTACTTTTTTTGAATTTGTAAATTGATCGTTGTATCTTTCTTAGAAAATTAAACGATATTTTTATTGCAATAAAATTATTGAATAAAGTAAGGTGACAGTGCGATAAAAAGTTATTTATAGCAAAATAAAAATTCAAATTACAAATTAAAGAAAAAAAAAGGATTCCTAATTATTGAATATTTTTTTAAGGAAATCCGTAATGTCTGTAATAAAAATTTTAAAAGAATATAATTATACAATTTCTATTTGTATACGGTTATATGTGGCAATTTTGCAAAATAAATTCTTAAACATACCTTCATAATATAGAATACGAAGTACCATCATAATCATTATTAACACTACGGTATTAAATTTTTTTATCATTTTCGTTTCTAGCATTTCTTCTCTAATTTTACGTGTAATTTCATCTACAGAATGATTGTAATCCTTTCGTTATTCATCTAAAAAAAATGTAAAGTTAACAGTTGGTGCATCTAAATATAACTTTATTACTGAAACCAGTATGCTTACTTTGAAAAAAAGAAATATCAAAGAAAAAAAAAAGAAAATGTGTAATTATATTTATGGAAGTTTGTTCTGATTTTATAGAATTAGTGTGATCAGGTGATTTGTCGATCAATTCAAACTTCCTGAAAAATTTAATGTTATAAAAATTAATTTATCTTAATTGTTCATTGTTTTATTATAATAAATAGTTACCAATTTTTAAAACATACCGAAAAAAAAGAAATAGTAAATTTTGTTTATTTGAAAAAAATTAATAAAAGAAACTTGTTCTTTCTTTAAGAAATCTTTTTTAAAAAATAATTTCAACTTTCTTTATCATTCTTTTCGTCATAAATACCTTTTGCTTTTATGAGGAAAGGCATAAAATTTTATCATAAATTTTATTAAGAAAAATATTTATGTAGCAAGTTGTTGAATCATTTAAAAAAAATAAAATAAAATAATATAAAAAATTTAAAGTTGATATTGGAATAACTGCTGACATCTTGCTCCTAAGATCATAAACCAGGTAGTTAAAGCTTACCCTCACGCTTTGGAGAAATTAGGCACATAGGCATGATATAGCTAACTACTCCCTAGACTCCACAAAGTTGATAACTACAACTGGATCAACACAGAAACACCCTATAGCTGGAACGATTCAACTATCCATATATACTGACCATCGGCAAATTACAAGGGGATTCATTCTCATGGAATGAAAATCATTCACCTTATTGAAACTTGTTGTCATAACAGAAATCTAATATATTGCACGTTAGGGGAGTCATACCTGAGGATAGCTGGCTAGGAAATCTCACGCACTATCCCACAACGATAATATTCATAAGAAGTTATAATTATTTAATTTCGCATTCCTTTGAATTGTTAAATTCATGTGATAAATAAATAAATTATTGTCTGATCAATTCTACTGAGAGTGAATTTGGGAGTAATAACAATTTCTACTAACGTATGACCACATGATATCACAAATTGTCATAAAAACTTGATTTATATTTCTTTTATCTTTTCTCCTCGTTTTCACTATTACTCTATTTTTTTATACTCAACTCACTTACATTATATTTAATATAATTGGTCTAAGCGTCTGTGTTAGGGCAGTTAATGTTTGGTTCAAGTAAATTAAACTATGAACTTTCAATTTGTCATGGAATTTTTAAAAGGCTGCTGTTTAATAATCCCAACCATTAATACAGATTTCTCATGTAGACATATGAATTATTTACTGATGAGAAAATTGAAATTAAGTATTTAAGGGTCTTCTTTTAAAGATGCATTACAAAAATTTACACCAGAGCCAAAATATTTCTTAAGTTTATATATAAATCTGATACTTAAATTATTTTATTTTATTTTTAATAAGATTTTGCCGATTATTTATTTGGTAAGTGTATTTCACTTCTTTATGAAAACCTTTTGAACATATTGTAATAAAAAAGGAAGACAGAAACTACAAAAAAATAAATAGATTTTACTTGCTACATATGATTTTTTTTTTAGTAAAATAAGTTCCTTAGTGTTTTCTCCCTTTCTGCTGCAATGCGATATATTATTATAAAGCAAATAATCTTATGGTATGCTTTTTTTAAAATCTTAAATTACAGTCGTTTTAACATAACCAAACTGCTAACTTTTATCTTGTTTTTTTAGAGAAATACTATTTACAATCAATTTACTTTAGTAAACTCTGTACTTGCATAAAAAATGCATAATTAACAATCCTATATGACATGACGAAATAATATACTGGTGTTCTAATTTTAAAATTAAATCATTTGTTTAGAAATAAATGATTTTTTAAAATATCAATCATTGACGATCGTTTAAATTTATTGTAGAAATTGTTGTCTTATCTAGACTTTATAATTTCAGCGTGAGTAAATTCAGTTTATAAAAAGCCATTCTAATATAATTATATCTATTTCTAGATGAGTTAAATGCCTCACAAAAAGAAGATCATGGATCATTAAGAAGCGGATCACTTTCTATTTGCAATTCATTTCCCCATCTTTTGTTGATTATGGTGTAAGAATCTTATGTTGTAAGCATATCAATTTATCTTAACATGGCATAACTATTAATTTTACTTTTTTATTTTAGATATTAAAAGGCCTTCATCAATCATCTGAAAATTATTGACTTATATGGGAAGTTTGCTATTAAAACCCATATGCTAAAAGATCTTTTAATGTCTTCAAAAAATTAAGCGGGCCAATCAAAATCATTTGAAATTTGGAAAGCTAATCAACATGAATGGTTAAAATATTGAAACAGATTTTTCTGATCATTTTTGAGCTACTTTTCAATTTATTCAAGATGATTTAAAAAAATATCGAATAGTATCAAAATGAAATAGAATTGAATAGCGCTAATAAGTAATGAGTCTTCTTTCTCACATAGAAGGTAAAATTTAAAAAAGGTTCATACATTTTCTACTTTTTACAAATGCTACGTTATTACAATTTCCAATTGTTTTAAAACAATTGCAATATCGAAAAATCCAGTAGAGGAATTGTTTGGTATGATTAAAGCTTATTTAAAATTCGTAAGTATGTGTACAAAATGTTAGTTATGCAGCTTGAAATTTTTAATTTACATATTTTTTTAGATGAATACTAAAACAAACTACCAATAACAAAAGTTTTGAATATATTAATGTAAGATTCCTTTTCCTCAACATTCACGTAATACATCTCGACTAACCCGCCGACATAATGAAACTCCTGATGATGTGATGGAATATCACGACAAAATGCCACATCCAAAAATGCCAATTATGCAGAGGCTGATGAACAGCCTCTAACCATGCAGGATACCTATTTGCGAGTTTAAAACAACATAGAATATTTTGATATATTGTTTTAGAAGTTTCATAATTGAACAATAGTAAGCATAGTTGAGATAATAATATTCCTTAACTTAATGTATGTTTCAAGGTTATTTTTATTAAAATTGCAAATTATTTTATAAATTGTAACTTTATATTTTTCTATTACTGATCGTTTCGAGACTAATAATGGTATAACTACTATGGAATCCAACATTATCATTGTTTTTTTGAATTACTTTTAAATTATTTTTTATTATTTTCAATTTCATTTATTTTTGATTCAGTAAAGTATCCAAATGTCTGAAGTCGCAGGAATCCAAAATCTTAAGTAGCATTTTTTTTTATAGTTATCGTATATACGATTTCAAATTTATAAATAGTGTCTAATAATCTTACATTTGCAGGTTTGCTGAATATTGATAAATAAATCTCTTGAAAAAATTTTTTTTAAACAAGTAATACAAGTAATAGTTGATGACAATGTAGATGAGCGTTGGAAGCATATTGCAATTTTAATAAAATTATTTGCAAAGTTTATTTTTTTGGAATGTTTGAATTTATTTATTTATTTTTTTTTTTTAAAAAAAGAATATTAAAAAATATTAAAAAAAATAAAATTATTTATTTTATTTATTACAAAAAAATATATCAAATTGTATCAATATTATGTATAAATAATGTTGTAGGTGAAACGAATATCTTTGTAAAGATATAAGAGAAATTATAGTTCATAAATTTACCAAATCACTTAAAATTTGTTTTTGATTTTTGGATGATTTCTAAATTGACATTTCGGTTCAATCCCTAACTTTCGTTCTGATTAATGAAAACATCCTTAGCAAATGCAAAGATCCAGCATTAGGTACTTCTTTCCTGATATCAATGATTAGACCTTGCAACATTTCTTTCAATAAATAAACCTTTTCGAGTAAACTTATATTAAAAGTGCATTGATCCTATTATTGTTGACATTTTTCACGTCCATTCTTACAGCTATGAGACTAATTCTTGATCATTTGAGTTAAGTAAATCGTTCATTCTCACCTATTGATTCTCAAA